TTTCCATAAAGAGAAAAATCTTGACTATGCAAGATTATGAAATGTATCAGTAATAGACGTTTTTTAAATTCATGAACGATTATTGAGATGTTAACTTTCACTTACCTATATATGAAATATGTAATATGGTAAAGTCACCACAGTAGTAGACACTGTTGTGGGACTCTTCCAATAATTTTAAATGTACCTCGTTAGATTCTTTTCAAGCTTCCTTTGTTTGATATATTTGTCTAACAACACTATTGTGTGACCTAAATTCCTTCTAAAATAACTTAAACATTGATAAGTCGTTTTTTAGACACTTTTCGAGAACATGTTTTTCCATTAACAGTAGACATCAGTGTACCAGTAGTAGACAAGAAAACAACAGTAGTTGACACCACTTAATTAAAATGTTTAATTTATTTCTAATCAAGTGTGCACCTATATTAGCAGTTTTTACCAAGGAACTATGATATTAAAAAAAATACTAACTTCAAAAATGCAAAAAACAAAAAAAAAAATTAAAATTAAATTACATTTGAAGGTAAAAAGGAATACAAAACTTTAATTAATTTATTTTTTTAAGGTGCACGTTTAGTGTTTTTTGTTTGGTTCTTGCTTATGCTTAAAAACACTTACTACTTGTCTAAATTATTCATTAAATAAATTTGAACAGGAACAATCCAAAAAAAAAAAATACAGAACCTATTATCACACTTATTCATTTTTTATATTTTTTTACGATTCGAATTACAAGGACACTCAGTGGATGTTCCTCTAAAAATTAGAATTGAAATGCAGTCTAAATTTTAGACGAGGAGCTCTCACTCATTTCGTTTGCCTTGGATTTGGACTTTACACGAAATGATTCCAGATCATTGAAATAGCCACTGTGGTCCATGATCTTACAGTATTAATTCCTAAACATTATTTTTTATCGGCCTGGTTCAAAGATAAAGTATTCTTAGTAAAAGTAGAAACTCGAGATGCACCAGTTAATAACTTTTAAGGAGTACCGAGATGAATCGAAATTTTTGGTAAAAGCATTCGCATAATACCTTACAGCAATTTTTTTAAGCCGTTACAAATTTTTTTCTAGTACAATATTTTTTTTCCAATTGTTCTATTTCTGAAAGTTAATCTGTGTGATAAACTGAAATCGGAAAGTAACTCATGTAATAAGACTGTTGTCGTAATTTCTTTCGTTTTTGTTTTAAAATCTTCTGCTTACAATCTACTTATTATAAAATATAAGATAAATAGCATTATAATTGAGTAACAAAAGATTTCAAAAACATTCAATTTAATCCATATAAATTGAAGCCACCAGCTTCTGAACTCATTTATTAAAATTTTGCTATTTCGATTAAGATTAGAATTTTTGGTTAAGAACCTGTTATGTTAAAATAGTAATAGTGAGGTTTCCGCACCTTCATATTTTTATCATAACAAGAGAAAATAGCTTTGTTTATTTGTAAACAAATTATGTATTCATAAAAGGTGTTATATTGCTATTGCGACGATGTGTGAATGGCGTTCTAATTTAATATTGCTGTTATACCCATCGATTTCGGATTTGTTTGTATTCGTAAACAAGGTTGATTATTAACTGTGGCGCTTTAAAAAAAACCCTTAGAACGACTTTTAGTGCTTTTGATATATAAAGGTTTAGTGGACAGGGCTTATGAAGTTACGTTTCCATTACTGGGACAAAGAGTGATAACGTTACCTTCCTGTCCCTCAGCTTTGATTCTGATATATAAAAGGATGTCATCAACGTTACACTGGTAAAAAAAAAATTAATAACATTGTTGGGATGGAGTTTTCACCACAGCAGGCGGGTCGTTTCTGTCCGAAATATGATTTTATACCAACACTTAATGCAAAATTCAAGTATTTTTCTAATATTGAGTTTCTTAGAAGGCCATCAATTTATCATAGATATCGCGGTAGCCAGGTGGTGAAGCACTGACTTTAATGCTCAAGATCCCGGGTTTGAATCCGGCTGATAACAGGTAATTTTTCATCATAACAGGTAATCGTCGGGAGGCCCTCCTGGGACACACTTGGGTGTAATCCTGCCCGATTTCCTCCCTCCACAACCGTTGGCTTTGTAACAATACTTCGTTACTTTAACGTGGTGTCGACGATATCAATCCTTCAAAATTGGTTAATTGTTTAAATTTTTGCTTAATTATTATGTATAATTGGTAGACTGTATATTTTTCTGAAATATAGAAGAGTTCACTTCTAGTAGTCTTATTTTTTTATTATTTATTCGTTACCTGAAGTTTTCGGTGGCTTGCACCATATTGATCTGTTTTTAATCGAAATCCATTCACTTCGGATGTCTTACTTTCAACAATTATTTTCTTTTTTAACCATTGATATATTGTAGTACTCTTTTGTTAATAATGTATAATATTAGAGAAAACGCGACCATTTCTGTCCATACCGAGTCATATAGTCTAGTCAAAATTTTTTAATGGATTTTTTTGCGTTGTTCGCTTATGTTTGGAATAAATAATAAGTTTTAAGTACCAAAGTTTTAGTCATTCAATTGTGTCTTGTTTGTTTAATATTTATTTCAATTATGATTTGGATACTTTTGAATTACTTTACGGGATCGATTTATCTTTTGAAGTTTTGCTATACAGATTTTAATCTAGGAGGCTGTGACAAATTACATGAAACTTGGTGCATTCAAATATAGGCTCCAAAAAAAGGATCAGTAATACGCGTCTGCCAGCAAATATCTGCAGGGTACTCGCGGCAGACGATACTACAAATCTCCTTTATTTTTAAATTACAAACTAATTAATCTTTTTATTTATCTTCGCCAATGTTATTTGCTGGAATAAAGTTATTTAAATATTTAGGTAATTATCCTTGACAAAGGATTGAGGAATAATAAATTTTTATTTATATATGTAATTATGTTGAGCATTAAGCAAATTTAAAAAAAAAATAATCAAAATAAAACCTACTGATAGTGAAATTTATAAAAAATTGACACCAATTTACGAAACAGCAATGACAAACCATTCAATTCAAAGTTATTTCATCTATTTGTAAATTTAGATTTATATAAATAAAGATTCCTCTTCTTCGTTACTTTCCGTTGAGTCACCTACTTTTATATTAACTTTCATAAATAAATTAAATCGAAGGATATCAATTATTAATCATTTATTTTTTCTTTCTGACAAATGGTACATCATGTTTAAGGTCATCAGAAATGAAACAAATGTTTCAATTTTGTTGCCATCTCTGTTCCTATAGTATATTACTACTGATGTAAAGACCACCTTAGATTGCTCTTGTGGTAACTGAATTTCTTTCAGCAAAATCCATTAAAATAAATACTTCATTAATCCCTATATTTTCTTTCCTTATCTTTATATGGAAATTTATTGGAAATGGTAAAAATGAATGGGGATTAGAATTTTTTTTTTTGTGAAATGCTTGGTGAGAAAGAACCATAGAGTGCAATTTCATTGGGCCCTCAAATGTTAGCGGCTCTGGATTTTCAGGGCATATATCACAACGCCGAAGCATGCAATTTCTATCATCTTTGTTACAAACTAATTTTTTTTCCCCCATGTTATGAAGAAATTCTTTGTCATGGCGATTGCATTGGCGAGGAGCTCCACATGTTGATGGTATATGCGAACGTATACACAATGGGTGTCTGGCGAATTAGCCAGCATATACCAATTTGTCATTATGTTAAAAATTTTTAGAATCCTATATTCAGATTTGGGTATATTTCCTTGAAATAATCACATTAAATAAGTATTTTTTTCTTCTATACATTTTTTTTTTACGCTGACAATATCTTTAGCTCCCGTCATCGTACTCGTATATTCTTATCGTATATCGTCTTGATAAAACTGATATATAATATCAATGATTTATTGGTTTATATTCCTCCATTGTTTTGGTTCTGGTAAAGCTTAAATGCCTATTTTAATCTTCCTACTATATATTCCTATACGTATCTAATTCTACAAAAAAAAAGAGCCTTGTTAATTTCATTTTTGTCAACTCTTCTATTTGCAAATTTCGTATATTCTTTATTCTCTTTTTCACTTTGATCAGTTATATTAACCGGATTAGGTTTAATACCTAATATTCTTAGATTTCTACTGTTACTGCACAGCAGCGTTCCTGGGACCAAGATGATGTTTTTATGTTGCTTGACATACTTTGCTTATTTAATGTAATTGTCCTGAGGTCGTGCTTCTTGGTCATAAGAACAGAATACCTTTCAAATTGGCCACGAAAAGCTTCTTGGATTTTATGAATATATTTTAAAAAATGTATAAAATCGATGATATAAAGTACCACTTCCGGTTAGACGATTATAACGAAAAACATGTAACATCTGGGACATATAAATACCTTAAATGCGTTATTTCAGTTGCATGAGACTTTTCGTTGGTGAGCTAGAGTGTTCACACACAGTCTATTTTGGTGGGACTTGCTTATTGGGACTGAAGAGACCTCAAAACATGTATATCCGTTAAAAACTCAGATTTGTAAATTTTCACAATTACGTTCCCTGATAATATATTACATATGTAGGTAAGTGAAAGCAAAACTGGCACAAATGGTGGGGGAAAAGTCGTATCTTTTTGAAACCACTAATTGTTTGTGCGTCATCTGAAAATTTCGATATCTTCTCTATACAACACATCAGAAATAATATAAATGGTCTTGTTCTTTATTAGTGATGTATTATCATAGGGGGAATTTAGAACAGCACAACAGTACATATACGCATATTCTATTGAAATTGTGAAACTTTTTTTGTCTTCGAAAATCAATATTTCGTATTATTCTTTTCTGTAAAATTCAGATTATATCAGTATATCACAGGTTTTGATTTTAAGAGAAAGAAACATTACGAATTTTAAAAAGTAACACACACATATATATATATATATATATATATATATATATATATATATTATATTTATTTTTTATTAAAAGAAACAACTATAAACAATGAAGTGGGAATAGAGCGTTAATTTAACTTAACGCATTTGTTGTGTCATTCGCTTCATTTCAATTGCTAGCTTGATATCGGCAGACATTTTGGTTCTGTAATTGATACGGAAATCATACCCATTATCGATTAGCGGATCTAGGTACCACCCATACCTGAAAAATAAAATATATACAAGATACATAGTTGTAATCTATACAGTATGTATGTGTGTGTGCGTGTGGCCAGATGCAATATGCTTTAAATTTTTAGGGTCTCAAATAGGATTAATTTAATAATTTTAACTGAAACAAGTTTAACAATTTTAATTTTTATAAAACTACTTAAATAAATAGCGTTTAAACTATCAAGCGCACTGCATCCTGCTACATAATGCATTAGAAAACAGTAAAGTAGTAAAGGGAGGCCATCAGCTTACAAGATTTAACTGCAGGGAACATCCATTAGTTCCTCACTTAAAGGAAATTTTCTCCTTACCTGGCTTATATTGAACATGTCTTATACAATCACGTTATATAATATTGTAGCCGCGCATAATGATAATGCTAAGCTACAGAGCTAATGCTTGTGAATTCAGCTACATAATTATTTCTTTTGCCAATTGATTCAAAATCAACAATCTACAATATATATATGAACTTAAAATGCCCTTATTGTTCATTTTAGATTGCATGTGCATATCGTTCATGTGTATTGTATGTACAATCTAAAATGTACAATAACCCTGACAAATTAAAAATAATATCACTGTAAAACACGCTGCAGTATTTATCTCAACTAAATATTTATTACATTGGTGTGATGAAAGCTTGCTACTCCCATTTATTCCATTAGCCATTGCAAATAAAATAAAAAATTCCCATGACTCCATGGTAGAAATATTACATCTCTCTTTGGACACGTGTTAAATATAAAAAAAATATATATTTATACTCCAACTGAATAAAAAATGTTGGTTGCCACTGTTTGATAAAACCCATAAAATACTTAATAACAACTGGAAACAAGGTTTTTTTTTTATTGGAAAATACTAAATTAAGAAATATTTGAAATAAAAAAGTAAAAACGTGCTCTCGGTCAGTCTCCACTGTCTATAGCACCAGTGACGTTGGTAGAGTTTGGACGTTGGGAGAAGGAACTCATGGAGTCCTACTTATCCCTCTATAGATGGAAGGACATGTCTGGCTTGGAGTTACCTCGCCTGATTTTAAATTAATTTACTTATGTATAGTACTTAGTGTATTGATTGTTATTTAATTATATACTTATGTTTATTTTATATTTTCTGTAGTGTGAATGTAGTAGTCTTACTTCAATATAATTATTGTTAACGCGATAGAATATTATATTATTCAATGAATAAATAATTTTTATTACACAGCAATATAATATAAAATAAACAAAAGCGAAATAACAACTAAATAATAATCCAAAAATATAATGACTTAATCATAAGTAAATTAAAAAATCTGGTGCGCGCAACCCACTACTTTCACTTACCGCTCTACTTTGAATGGAAATTATTTTCTGGCAATGTTGAGCTATTATTGAATTTTTGAAGTGCATTTTAAACGGAGGCAAAGCTTAAAGCTTACAGATAACAAATCATTAAGACCATTAAAATGAAAAAAAGTATTTTATATCTAACTTAACTTCAGTCTCTGAGGTTTTCAGTAGACAGAATGACTTACTCCAATTTTAACGTTTTTGAGGGATGTCATTTTAGTGATATTTCTAGTTGGAAAGGTTATATCTATAAAGACAGTGAGTAAGTAAGTGATTTTTGGACTATTAGTTAAATAACTATTATTTTCCATTGTAAAGTTTACTGAAATAATATTTTGAGACTTTCACTGCCTTTCATGGATAGGTCAATAGTTTTACACTAATTGTAATAAGAGTGAATAATGTTGGGATTTCACAAATGGAAAATTCATCAAATTATTCACTAATTTAATTTTCTGAAAGGTTACTTGATGATTTTGTTTTGGAATAAACGGCCAATAGATCACTAATTCTTCAAGTATATCATATCTAGAGTTATTAAACTACAGTAAGTGTATTTAAGGTTATAAACATATCCCTGAAATATTTTTATATTTCACTTCTTTCACACTATCACAATGAAATAGTGTTTTAAACAATGGTATTGTCTTGATTCGGTGGATATTAAATAATTTTTTTTAAAAACTTTTAATATAAAAGTTTACATTTAATATAAAAATTTCATTTAACTTCCTTGGAAACATGCGGTTTACGTTAAATGCAGTTAATTTTAGCTAAAACAGGGATATTTTGCTTGATAGGATAATAATATCATCATTTTGGTTTATTATTTTCAATAATGAACCATTATGATCGAACCAAAAATTCAAAATTCAAAAACTTAACCCCCTCTGAAAATTTGAGGTTTTACGAGGATACGTAGAAATCGAAAAACGAATAAAAATCCGTCCGTCGTCCGCGCATTTTCTCCGAAACTACTGGATCATTTTTTTTTTCAAATTTCGCTTTAAAATTAGAGGTCACCCGAGGATAATCCTCCTTTATCGACATTTCTATCCGCCTATTCTTTAAAAGATGGTGTGCGAAAAACCTGCGTTTCTATAGACTGTAGAACCTTAACGAATGTACTGATTTCAATGAAACTTCGCTAAAGTCTCATTCTCGATACCGTTTAAATTTATCTATATAACATACTTCAACGAAAAGGAGCTGGAAAGAAAGTTACGAGGGATGATAATATCAGATTCCGAATAACTCAAAAAGAATACACTTTTTTGTCAATATTGTGATAAGAGGTTTAATAGGTATTTAAATTTTCTAAAAAAATGAAGAAAGTTTCATCGAAGTGAAAGCACTATTATTAAAGATATCACGATTTTTAAATATTTTTATTTTGATTAATACGTTTCAGGATACGTAGAATTCGAAAAACGAATGCAATTTTTTTTTTTTTAGTCCGCCCGCCGTCCGCGGATTTTCTCTTAAACTACTGGACAATTTTTTTTTTTCAAATTTGGCTTTAAAATTAGAGGCCACCTGAGGGTTATTCTCCTACATCGACATTTCTATCCGCCTTTTCCTTTCTAGATGGCGACCGAAAAACCTGCGTTGCTATAGACTGTAGCGCCTAAACGGGTGTACCGATTTCAATAAAACTTCGCCAAAGTCGATTTCCGATGCCCTTTAAATTTATTTATATAACATACTGCAACGAAATGGAGTAAACCCTAACCACAACCGAAAAACCATTTTCCGAGACTTGGTTATTTGGACTCAAAATGTGAAGTTCCTTTAAAAACTCGAAAATTTCTCGATTGCAATATTTTCCCTTACTATATATTACACAATATATAGGCAAGTGAAAGTAAAAAAAACCTGAAAAAGACAGCCATACCTTAATGAATAATAATAAAAAAAAATGTGAAATTTGTTCTTAATGACCGTATAAATTTTATCTATAGATCACTAAAAATGAGCAAATGGACTCGAAACTTCGTTACTTGACGCATAATAAATGGATGTTCGATTGGTAAATGTAATTATTTCCTTTAAAAAAATCTGATATATTGTTATTTGTTGACTTATTATAGCCAAGAAGAACTTAATAAAAGGTATTGTACCTTGCGTACTTTTGCTTTTAATATATTCTTGTCTGCCACCCGGGCCATCTTCTCCTAGCTTAAATAAAATTAATGTTTTGTAAATCTAATAATTTAATTAAAATCGTCACAGCCTTTGTTTACCTTTGATTTTCTGTTTCGGGATATGGGTTTCGCTCCTTTGGTAATTGTGAGTGCACCCTTTTTAATAAGTCCACATATTCTTGCTTAACTAAGCTTTCGTCAAATTTTTGATGGCGGGCATAGAATTTCGATGCTATGGGAGCAACTGAAGAATATTTCGAGATTCATTAGAGTTAATACATTTATTGAAATGATTACTATTTAATTTTTTTTTTTTACTTAAACGAGTAAAAAATATAATGTTAACTTATAATTTAAAAAAAATCTAACAACCTTTTTCTCTCTAAACTGCAGATAAAGAATAAAATAACCCGTCTACGTTTCAACAGTTCGTCATAAGGACAGAGAACGGGTCTTGCTTACCAACTTAAAATTTTAACTATAATTTTAAAGCGAACACAATTTACTACAGTTTTTATAGAAAAAATATTTTTCTAATCTTAACAACTTAAATACAAATTAATAAAAAGTGATTGATGTTTTGAAATTTAAAAAAAAATCTTATAATTTTATTGTTACTGTTTTCCACTCATTTTAATGAAATTGGTCATCAACAATTATGGTTTTTCTTATTAATTTTAGTGCCTCGCCATTTTTTTTTTTTTTTTTTTTTTTTAATTTCTTTATTGAGTATTATAACAATCTGTCTGTTCGACATTGGTTATAGTGAGGTAGGATGACATTCACACCATATGTACAAAAAAATAAAATAAATAGAACAAAATAATAATCAAAAGTATATACAATAGACAATAAAATAAAATAACCTAAAAAATAAGAAAATTAAAACTAAGGAAAAAAAAAAAAAATAAAAAAATAACATGCATACCTATATACAATCAGGCGAGGGAACTCCAGGAGAACCCTGCGCTACTCTTCCAACCGCGTCACTGGTACTAAAGCCAGCGGAGATTGGTCGAGAGCACTTTAGCCACATACACACATGTCTTGAGTGAAGAATCTGGCCATTGCCAGAACTCCAATTTATATAATTTACAAAAGGTCGCGAGGCCACTGCCGTTTCAACCTTCTTGGAGGATTATAGGGATGGGAGATGCTTGATAGGGATTGTGCAAGAGGATTTGGGTGGTAAGTAAGGTTCTGGTGAAATTTGGAGAACTTTTCTGGGATAAGGTCTAGGACAAATGGGATGTTAAGGTCATGATGTAGGGTTTTGTTGGATACATAGAAAGGAGCATCGACTATTGTTCGAAGGACTTTAGACTGGAAGGATTGGATGCGCTTGATGTTAGAAAATTTTGCTGATCCCCACAGTTCTAGTCCGTAAGTCCAAATAGGTTTCAGTATTGTCTTGTAGATCAGTAGCTTGTTTTCAATGGAAAGTTTAGATTTTCTGCTTAGTAGTCGGTATAGTTGGCCGTATCGTCGGTTGAGTTCTTGTCTTTTGAGTCTAGTATGCGGGTTCCAAGTTAGTCTTCGGTCTAAATGAAAGCCAAGATACCGGACTGTGTCTGAATAAGGAAGCTGGATGGAATTAAAGAGTACTGGTGGACAGGAATTGCGTCGGAGTGTAAAAGTAATGTGTTGGCATTTAGATTCATTAACTTTAATGCGCCAGTTATTACACCAGTGCTCAATCAAGGTGAGATGACTTTGGAGATTTAAGGATGCTATTTCGGGATCAGAGTTGGATGATAAGATTGCGGTGTCGTCAGCGAATGTTGCAAGAAAAGTATCGGGATGAACAGGGATGTCAGCAGTAAAGAGGATGTAAAGTACGGGACCCAAGACGCTGCCTTGGGGAACACCGGCTTTAACGGAGTAGATATTGGAAAATTCTGTTCCACAGCGAACTCGAAAGGAGCGGTCAGAGAGGTAGGATCGGAGGACTAGGTACAAGGACTGAGGTAAATGGATTTTAAGCTTGGAGAGCAGTCCGGAGTGCCATACCCGGTCAAATGCCTGTGCAATGTCCAGAAAGGCACCCGAACAGTATTCCTTGTTTGCCTCGCCATTTAGTATTCATAAATGACATAGTTAAAAAAGCATTTAGGAAGTAAAAAAAAAAAATTGTTTTGGACAATTAAATCATTGTATTAATATTTTTTCGTTAATACAATCAAAATAATGTACTAAAATTGTTATTATATTAATATAACATTATTATGCCATTTATGAGTACTGAATGATGTGGCAGAGGACTCTAGGCTCATATGCCAGTACCGCTTTTCCGCCGTATTTTCTAACTAGTTCAAATATTTTAAAAAGGAATCGGTGTCTATGAAAGAAAAATACATTCTACAAATGTTTTATTTCGGAGCGTTTTCCGTTATTGTCGGCCGTTTATTTACAAATGGCGCTTGATTTTCAACTTTATTTTGAACGACTTGAAAAAATTGAATTTACTTTTGTAATTTATTGCTAAGGCCAATTATGTTTTAGTATTTTATTGTTCTCTAATTGTATGGCTCAATAAAAGGCCAATTATGACGAAATCAAGCCAAATGCTAAATCTCAGTTACCGAAACGAACGTAATAATTTCGTAATTTATCCCTAAGTAAAAAAAATTAAATAAAGTAAACCCCTACTCTACCTATCATTGACCGAACAACCAACTCAAGTCATAGATGTCAATCCACCATGCTTGTACGCCATTTCGTGACAGTGCAGCCCCTTTTTTTTTGTGGGAACATTGTTGTTGTTTTGTTTTTTTAATAAATAGTTACCAATAGTAATCCAACTATATACAATTTATTACGATGTGGGAAGAAGGCGGATGGTAGAGGGGAGTGTCTTACACGCCGTGTAACATACTGAAACACCTCCCGACTACCGTTTACCGTTCCAGGCAATGTCTCATTATCTTCAAGGAAATCCTCAAATTCTCTGGACGAGGTTCAAAATGGATTTTTAAAACTGAAGCAGTACTATTGTGAAGAAATAGAAGTTAGTAAATTTTGAAAGCTCGATAGTTCTCATCTAATTAGAATAAAAATGATATGTACAGTATTTTATGTGCACAAATATTAGATAATTTTAAGCTGTTTAAGATTGAATATAACCATCTATGTCGCTCTAAAAAGATATCTCCTTTTGGAGTAAACCAAAAAAAGTTCGAAATTTCAATAGTTTTTGGAGCACTGCAGCAATCGCCAGGCTTTCAAGGGCGGAAACTTGGATTTTTTAATATTCACTATATAACTAACAATATAAAAAAGAAATTTATATTACGCGACGTTATGCAAGGTCATGTCTAATTTGACTAGGCTACTAATAAAGCTAGACATTTTTTTTTAATGGAAATATAAATAATATTCTCTTTGATTGGTACCTTTAAGGTTAGGTCGGAAATCTGTGTATAGTTTGAAGAACTTCCATTCTCTCTTCGCTGCTTCTATAAGTAACGTCTGGTTAATGGGTCTTCCTTCCGCTTGCATTATGAAGAAACTGAATTTCGAAAGCCACTATAGCTAAAAAAATAGTAGATAGGTTTGAGATATATATTTTAAATTGATAATTATTTTGACTGCATTGTTTATCATACGTTGAATAACAATACTGAAATATTTTTTCTGGTGTATATTATAACGATAAAATTCGTAATTCAAAATGTTTTGAAACAATTATAATATTCTCTGATAGAATATTAACTGATAATCGAATGCCGAGTCTCACGGAAGACTGACTGTCTGCATCATGGAAACCCCAAACCTTATTTTTCAATCTCAACCATACAACCAGGAATAAGATGCCTCCAATTTTTTTTTTTTTTTATAATGGTTATGTGTTTCACCTCAAGTTTGGTTTTCTCTGTATCCAGTTGCATTCTTCAAATTAGGAACATTGGTGCCTTGAGTCTTTCAGGGCTGCTTGCCACTTCCTTGTAAAAACTAGATCGTTGTTTTAGCTTTTCTGAGACAAATTATCTGAGTAAGGGGACCAACACTGCTAGCACAAGATTATCTTATAGCAGGGGAATACCTTATTCCTTCCAGCAAAACACTATGGGCTGATGTAAGGTTGTTTCTTAGAGTTTTGTAAGGTTATATGTCACCTGTGGTTTTGGAGGTTCTGCTGCTTATTCCACGGTTTCCTGTGCCGAACTTTTCCTCTTCTTCCTTCAGTTTTCCAGAAACCAAGTGTGAATCCAAAGTATTTGAAGTGTTAAATCCTTTTCAATTGGTCTTCCACAAACTATAAGTTATTAAGGAACGGCTCTTCTCTCAAATGAATCCATGTTTATTTACATTTTTCCTCCATTCTTTTAAACAAATTTCAAGGAGAATTTGAAATTGGAATGTTGCTGCACTACATCTCTGGAGGAGTCCTTTACTTGTTAGGAAAAGCTCAGAAAGGTACGTTCCAACCTTACTTGGTTTCACTATGTTGCTTTCATTCATCTCTCGCATTATTAGTAAAAAAAACACATCACTATTATCCTAAAATTTATTCAGTTTATTTTACTGTTTATTAAGTACCTAATTTCTCGATAATTAATGTAATTATATATATATATATATATATATATATATATATATATATATATATATATATATTTTTTTTTTTTTTTTTTTATTAACTGAATTTAAGTTTCTTACTGTGGTCTATATTTGTTAAATTAGCTGCTCTCGGTTCCTGTTATAAGGCGATGGACGACTTAAAGTGTGACGGTAGCCTGATGATGAATGTTAAGTTAGCCGGAGAATTAAACGGTTGATTAGCTCATTTAGCGGCCGAAAGGAGCATTTGCATTTAAATAACCCTGCGTAGCAGAGGCACCCTACCTTTTAGCCTTCTCGACCTTCAAGTATTTGCTACTTTATTTCCAACCGACTGTATTTTCTCGCCAACTTGTTAACTATAGTTTAATGAATGGATTCGCCCTAGCTAAAAGGAATGAAAATGTCATAGAATCAAAATATATTTGAAAGAATATATTCATCTGTTTCATAATCTATAGAACAATATATATTAAAATTTCATTTTGTGCGAAATTGTATGTTTTGGCCTTATTTGTCTTAATTACACATTGTTGGTTTCTATTGCATGTTATAAAATTTAAGGATCTTTCATTTTTAACAGTATAGAGTAAAATACTTAAACCAAATTTCTTTTATAATATTTACCTATATAGGTAGGTATGTAAATATTTATTTACATTTATTGTATATTATATTATGGGTGTGGGTTAGCTCAGTGGAAGCACTGACTTCCTAAGCTCACGGTCGTAGGCTCGAATGCGGCTAATGACTAGTAATTTTTCATTAGCCGTGCATCAACACTGCGATCGGGAGACCCTCCTAGGGTACACCCAGCCTCTATAAAGTAGGTACCCTTGATTAAAAAAATTAATTAAGGGGAAAACCTGGCGGTTTAGCGTGATATTGACTCCATCAACTCTCAACCGTTGGCCTTGTAAAGACGAGAATTCCACTTTTAGACAACATTAGCATGCGGCATTGACGCATGCTACACACAGTCTTTCCATAGAAGAAACTCAGAGCGACAAATATATGTCTCCTTGCTACAAGTTGACCGTTGTTGCCTGTCGAATGCGTCATCTCGCCACATGATTTAACGTGTCGAACAGTGTCGTCGTCTATTCAACAGCCCACGGATCGGTGCTGGTTGTCGCGGGCAACATGGAGTGGACGAACGAAAATAATACCTCTTTTATTGACGATTACCACCATTTTTCCGAATTATGGAATAATAAAATCGCCGAATACAAACATATAAGAATTATAAACGATAAGTTGAAACAATCATCGGATGATTTATTTGCCATTAAATAATCAACAAGTTGAATATTAAACAATATTTTAAAATTAAAAATAATTGATAATAACTTTAAACGTGAAAATATATGAAAGTGGCTTCATATCGAAGACGGATCTCGGTAATTTTCAGTAAGCTAAGAAAAAATCAATTTTAGTTTTATAAGTTCAACGCAAACTGTTTCTGATGATTAAGAATGTCTAAGTGGAATCATGAAAAAAGATAATTAAAATTAAAGCTATGTTACAGAAAAAGATGTTTCCCAACTTTTTAAAAACGACAGATGTCCTTTGATATTAATCCATTCATATGTGCTTTCTATTTTCTTTCTTTCCCATTTTGCCAGACAGAACCACAGCAGCGCGTGACCGGGTTAAGCTAGTAGTATATAAATGCTCGCCCTACATGATCCACCTTCTCCAATCATATCTTAACAACAGGTCCTTTTTCATCACAACAAATAATGACCATTCCTTTATCCATCTCCTATTATCTGCAGGTCTACCTCACGGCTCCTGCGTGTCTCCTATCCTATTTAATCTATCTATTTCAGATCTTCCTTCAGTAGAGCACTTACTAAAGGACGATGATGCGGCTATCTACACATTCAGAATTGACACAATATCTAACAGATTACAACCCCACCTTATAAAATTCGTTAATTACTTTGAAAAGTGCAAGATGAAAATAAACGTCCAAAGAACAGAAGCAATAATTTTCTTAGAAAGAAGTCCAAGTATAACTCATAACATACTAATAAAAGACAAACATATCCCATGGTCCAATTCAGTGAAACATATAGGCCTTGAACTTGCAAAGTTCCTAAATTTCATCCGTCATGCAAATAGCGAATGCGATAAAGCAATAAACATTATTAGCAAAATTTTCCCGTATGTCAATAGATGCTCCCAATTATCTTCAAAAAATAAATAAATTTTTGAGCAGTTATTCGCCCTATGACCTTCCCCAGTATAGTCATACTTGTAGTACACGGTGGGCCAGACCTTCCTACCGTCCAACCTCCCACACTCCAGATCTCTATAAATTGCATATCGTTGTGTTCCTAGTAACTATGTATTTAAAAAAAAGACAATGTTTCACAAAAAAAAGTGAACCCACTGTCCCAAACATGGTGGATTGACGACTTCGACTATAGTTAGTTTTGAAAAAAATGGCTTTACTACTACTTTTTATTGCTAAGGCCAATTTTTTAAATCTTTTATTGTTCACTTTTTAGCTTTAATAAAAGGTCGAAATTAAGCCAACTGCTGAATCACAGTGACCGAAAAACTAAAGTCGAAGTCGTCAATCCGCCATGTTTGGACGCTATTTTGGAACAATGTGTTCTTTCTTTTTTTATGGGTACATTGACTTTTACTAAATAAATATTTACTAGGAACACAACGTTATGCAATTTATAGGGATGTGGAGCAGTGAGTACACGGTCGGGGGGTCTAGCCCACGGACTATGAGTCCAACTATAAAAAAGTGCTTCAAAACATATGCATGAGAATAATGAGGACAGGGATGGCCGAGGGGACTAACGCGTGTGCATTGCACCACGTGTTGCCTGGCAACCCGGATATGTGATATAATAATATACCGAGTTCGCCTCCCGGTGCCAAAGGGTCTTTTAACTCTGAAACTAACCCCTGCTCTTACCCCCTGGCCCGGAAAACCCCCGTATAGTCCTAAAAGGAGTTATAAGTCATTTTTATAATTTAAGTAGGTTTTTATTGGATTTTTCCTATTGTACAAAATAGATTTCGGCATAAAAAAATAGCACTCACATAACTTTATTACAACTTATTTTTTTCATATATATGTAAATAAGTAATCTTTATATATCTTTAAAAAAAAATCTACTGGTATGTAGTGGAGCGAACGAAACTGAAAAAATAATGGTAAGAGTTTCACTTGAATGCCTTTGACTTGAGGATTAAGTAGTAGAGTTGATATCTCTCTTTTCTGAATAAAATTAGAAAGTGTTATCACGCAATTTGTTGGAGCAGTAGGTATTCAGTCATGTTGAAAGTATTTTCAACTATCGTCTTAAGAGATCAATTTTCTCAATCTTCGAACTGTGATAAAAAATTTAAAAAAAAAAAAAACCTTTAAACTGATTGCCGGTTCATATTTCTCTCACTGAACTTATACCATTAATTGGAAATTTTTTAAAGGATCAGTGAGGTTGAAAGAAAAAAAAAAAGTTAAATACAGGTTTGGCTTAAGTCCAGGCAGACAGTTGACGGCTAAAGAAGTTTAAACGGACCTTGCCAAAGAAGAACCTGCCGAGTTCCAACTGTTCGTTAGAATCTAGTAGATCCTCACATCGGACAGAAGTTTTTTTAGAATATTTTACTGCCATTTATTTTCATTTAGGTGTGGATTTGATAAATATATTATTAATTCATAGCGAGTTTTGAGATATATATTTTTATTTATTTTTTATAGATATTTTATTATTCCCTATGTTTTATCTAGCTACGAAATATTATTTAGTAAGGCTATTATAATATTTTATCAATAATAATAATAATAATAAAAGGCTTAGCGAACCCGTCCAAACCCAGTTCCTTCAGATCGGCTTTAATGCAATCTTCCCACCTTCGCTTCGGTCTACCCCTCGGACGCTTACCATTCGGCGCCGCAAATATTAACCTTTTAGGAATTCTCTCGTTACTAAGCCCAAAAACTTTACGAGCCCATATGATTCGCCGCCATGAAATTACCTCAATTATATTACCCGGATACAGTTC